AGAATGTCGATTTCGAGGTTGAAATAGTTTCTGAAATCAAACTGGAAGCCGAAAATATTCTTGAAACCATATTGGAGGCTGAAGTTAAATCGGGAGTTGAGGGTAAATCAGGAGCTGAAATGATTCTTGAAGGCAAATCGGGAGTTGGAACGATTCTCGCTGGTAAAATGAGGGATTCGACAGGTTCATTTGGAAGCATATTATGTAGGATCATGTCATCCCAAAGCTGTTTTTCAAGGATTTTTTCGTAGGGCTTCACTTTATCCCATATATCTTTAACAGGAATATGAAAATATCGAATAAGTGGTAAACATTGCTGTAGAGTTATTTTCAAATCCTTGAAATTTTTATTAGACCATTCTTTCGAATTAGTAGTTAAAGTAGGATTTTGTGCAATTCCCCATTTGATAACGTAATCCCAAATTTTAATTTCTTCAACTTGTAAGTCATCTCTTTTCAAAATAGAAATCAATGCTCTTTCTTGAAGTGAAGTGAAATCTCCTGATCCAAATACTAAATCTGGATGTTTTACAATAATATCATCATAAAAATTTTTCAAACCTTTAAATTCATTACAATCAAAAATAGAATGATAAATAAGGGAGAAATGCGTTCTTAACCAAGAAGCTTTAGATTTTATAAGGTAACTTTCTAATTTTTCTGACAATTCTTTAAGTTCCAATTCATTGACATTGACCATTAATTCATAAATTGTTTTGGTATCTTCATTTTCAATATTGACAATTCCACCATATAAATATCTATTAAACGTATATTATTTTATTAATATGGAGTCACAATATATTTAATATTTAAAAGTAATAATTAATTTTACTTACTTAAGAATAATTTCGAATATTTGAGCGGAAATATTTGGCTTAATAATATTTTTGATGTGATTTTTATTTGTAGTAGCGTTCCCTAATTCTTTATCAAAGTAGGACGAACGATAACGTAAGACAACAGAATGTGCAGTAAAAGATTTCTTATTTTCTTCTTCATCAACTTCGATGATAACATTATATTCTTTTTTGTCATTAAGAAGTTCTGAAAAATCTTGAGATAATTTATCAAAAAATTTAAGAGACATTTTTATTATTTCGAAGCTTTAAACTGAGCCGAATTCATAAATAAATATTTAATCCCGTTAATACAATTTATTGATTGGATATTGCATCGTTCTTATAAGGTTATATTGTTGTATTTTGTCAAACTTGCACGACATTTCGTATTTTCACGTCTGGACAACACACAACAGGATTACACAACAAATCAAGTTCCCAGTCTCAATAATAGCTTACACTTCTTCGTGTATCGCTATACAGTGTGACAACTTAAATAACAACTACAAAATCATGAGTATAATCTTTTTTTTTAAAAAAAAAATCGTGAGTATAATCTGAAAGGTGTATGAGTATGGTAATTTTCCCTACGTATACTATCAGAGTTAGAACAGATTTATAAGAGATAAAACGTTTATTTACGATTGAACAGTAAAAGAAAATTTTATTAGAAGTCGGGCAACAAAATATTACAATGGCATGTTTCTATTCTGTTACTACTTCTAACATTTATTATATAATTATTGCTATGTTTACCGCTATTTGTAAATGTTATTATAGTTATTTAATTAATAAAGAAAAAGATAAAAATAAAAGATTAAAGTGTTATTAACTTCTAAAGAAATGGGAACTCTCTTTTCTTTCTTTTACTGCTGCTACTTTTATATTTCTCTCTCATCATTTTTTTCCTTCCTTCCATCATTCCCATCATTTGTACTTCATCATTCTCATCATCGTGCAACTTCATCATTCTCATCATTGTGCAACTCCATCATTCTCATCATTTGTGTTCCCACACCACATGTTTTCTGCACTGCCATCTTACCAATCCTTCGTCGTCACCACAAACATTTCCTCCTTCAAAGGGGAACTCCTGCGACCCTACATCGTTATTCTGATAATTTTTAATCATTCGAAGATTTGCTTCTTCACACATTTGCACCAGCCTCTCGTATTCTTGTTTCAGAAGTCTATATAACCAGTCGGGCGTAACACTACGAAGATCTCTTGGATGTAGCATTTTGGCTCCTTGATCTAGTACTCTTGCCCTCAAGGCTATTGTACGTATTCGCGAACCATTCTGGCGTGAATGCTCTCGTAATTCCTGCTCTAACGATGTAGTGGTTCGTTCCACTTGGGCGACGTGGATAAACTCCCCGAGACGTCTGTAAGCATTCACTCGTTTCTCGTTCGAATTAGTGGAATTTATTGCAATGGATAGTAAGCCAGGTATATCGAAATCAGACATATCCTTCGTTGAGTCGTATCCTTCTCTGGGGTCCATGACATAGGGAAACAATGTATCATCGCTCGTAGATTCCATCAAATTTGTTACGTTGTCTCCAAATATCACATATGCACCCGTACTATCCATTATGTGTTGCGCACCTCCATCGAGCACCATTAGTTCTTCGCGTATTTGTCTTATTTTTCTTCGTAAGTTTTCGGAGACTTGCAGTATACTTATTCAGTTATACCGCCTAAAATATAAAATTTGATTGACGATCCGCCATCCGCCACTTAAAAAGTAATCTACTGAAATTTTTGTTGATATTAGGGGATTTTTATTCAAGCATTTAATATAATTTTTACAAAGAAAAATGAAATAATTATAAGTATTCATTTTTAGATTATTAAGATAGAGATATACCGATCACATTATTGAGTGACGGATCCAATTTCTTCCTTCCTTTTTTTCGCGAAAAAAAATCTTGCAAAAACACTTATCACAAAGTCCATATATATGTGAGGCCGTAACATAAATACTTTTTTTTAAAAAAGAATTTTATTGTATTATTAAATTTTTTCCTGAAGACAATCCTCTCATCTTTTTATTTATCGCTGAATTGGCTGACATTTTCTTACGAAAATAAATAAATAATATGTTTGTGAACTAATGAATTTTTTTAAAAATTCAGATAAAAAATTTAAAAAAAATAAACGTCATCTTGATGAATATGTCCAGAATTAAAACTCCAAACGGTTGGTTTGGTTCGATTTAGACTGTGAACTGAATCTGAACCGAGATTTATGAACTGGTTCGGTTTGGAATTTTAATTTTCGCCGGTTCAAACCGATTCAAAGATTTTTTAGCAGTGATGAAGAAAAACGGCAATGGCAACTGTAAATCTGAGATTTTTTATTAATAAAAAAATTTTCAGTTTATTTTTATTTCATTTTTTTAATTTTGTTTCATTTTTTTTATTTTATTTCATTTTTTATTTTATTTCATTTATTTTTATTTCATTTTTATTTTTTATTTAATTTTTTTTTTATTTTTATTTTATTTTTTATTTGATTTTTTATTTTTTATTTAATTTTTTGTTTATTTTTATTTCATTTTTTTTATTTTTATTTTCTCATTTGTTTATTTCTATTTTATTTTACTTCATTTTTTTATCATTTTTTGACTTTTATTTTATTTTTACTTCACTTTTCACTTTTATTTAATTTTTATTTTTATTTTTTATTGCATTTTTATTTTTATTTAATATTTTTTTATTTTTTATTTCACTTTTTATTTATTTTTATTTATTTTATTTTATCTTTTTATTTCATTTTTCTATTTTTATTTTATTTTTTATCCTATTTCATATTACTCATTTTCTTTTATTTACATGCAACGGGTAACGGTCACAGCGAAAAAAATAACAAAAAAAAAAGATTCTTGGATCTAGATTATAATAAACTGAAAATATTTCGGGTTGGTTTCGGTTTTTCTGTTTGGATTCGCCAGTTTGCAGTGGACTAAACCGAGCCGAATCTGAAACCGGCTGTTTGGAGTTTTACCCAGGATGAATAAAATGAATGTAATTTAAGATTTCATTTTTCTTCTCTGTTGACTATACACGGTGCATGTAACCCGAGACATCTCAAAAAAATTTTTAATACCTGATATTAAATAAATGAAAAAAAAAAGATATTTAACATGATTTAAAAGTATAGAAAACATTTAAACTGACAAAATATCTTTTACATTTTCTTTTTTTTTCTACAAAATATTCACTAACTCTTTGTTAAAGTAAAGACTAATTAATAACGTTGAAATGACACATGTATCGAGAAAACAATCGAAAACTATCTCGGATCTTGTTTTAGTTGCCGGTTAAATAGTAATTAATAAAGGTTCACATACTTTTTATCATTTCAATTTCACGTAAACATTGTGATGATTTATTAATTTATTTAATAAACTTTTATTATCTATTTTATCTATTTGCATCATCACTAAAGCAATTAAAATTATCAATTTACATTAAAAAAAAAATTGCATGATCGTACAATGGACTGTTTTTATTTTTTTATTTTTTAATAACCTTAAACACTTCATAATCCACAATTGAAAATCTTTCATTTGTTGTTCTAATAGGTCTTTTATATGCATGACATGAAGAAATATAACAACATAAAGATTGTTTATCCCGAGTAAAATTGGAAACATTTGATTCCATTGTAAATTCACTATAACCAAAACACGGACCAAAAAAATTCTGAAGATCTGATTTATAATATAATAAAGCTCCATTTTGATCTTTAACTCGGCTGATAATTGAATTTTGAATATTCTCATATTTTAATGAAAAAATGAAACTATTATTTGTTTTCATATAAGCTCCACCTGTTTTTTTATCCCAGGTTATAGGATTATAGCCACCTAATATTTCATCAGTTTCAGCAACCCTTGCAACCACAATTGTGCCAGCATGACCGTTACACATGTTCCAAAATTTCTTAGGATGAAAACTATCTCTACTCCCTCGAAGAATTAATTGAAATTCATAAGGTATATTTACTAAATGATAAGTAGATGGTTTTCGATCAATCCATGATGAAAGTTTTGCAACATGTTCTTTGTTGATAATAGTTGAAAATCGTTCATTTATTCTGTAAGAAAAGTCAGGAGTTGGAATGATTCTTGAAGGCAAAGTAGGAGTTGAAATGATTCTAGTTGGTAAATCGGGAGTTGCAGACAAATTGGGAGCTGAAATAATTTTTGAAGACAAATTTGGAGTTGCAGACAAATTGGGAGCTGAAATAATTTTTGAAGGCAAATTGGGAGTTGCAGACAAATTGGGAGCTGAAATAATTTTTGAAGGCAAATTGGGAGTTGGTCTGGTTCTTGAAGACAAATTGGCAGTTGAAGTCAAATTGGCAGTTGAAGTCAAATTGGGAGTTGAAATTAAATTGGGAGTTGAAGTTAAATCGGGAGTTGAGGTCAAATTGGGAATTGAAACCAAACCGGGAGGTGAAATGGTTCTTGAAGGCAATTTGAGTGTTGGAGACAAATTGGAAGCTGGAATTGCTCTTGAAGGCAAATTGGGAGTTGAAGTCAAATTGGGAGGTGAAATAGTTCTTGAAGGTAAATTGGGTGTTGGAGACAAATTGGAAGCTGAAAGAAAATCAGGAGTTGAAATGATTCTCGCTGGTAAAATAAGGGATTTGACAGGTTGATTTGGAAACATAAGATATTGAGTTATGTCATCCCAAAGTTGTTCTTCAAGGATTTTTTTATATGGCTTTACTTTCTTCCAAATATCTTCGCTAGGAATATGAAAATATCGAATAAGTGGTAAACATTGTCGTAATGTTATTTTCAAAGCATTGAAATTTTCATTAGACCATTCTTCCGGATTAGTAGGTAAAGTAGGATTTTGTGCAATTCCCCATTTGATAATATAGTCCCAAATTTTGATTTCTTCAACTTGTAAGTCGTCTCTTTTCAAAATAGAAATCAATGCTGTTTCTTGAAGTGAAGTAAAATCTTCTGATTCAAAAATCAAATTTGCATAAAATCCTTTCAACCCTTCGAATTCAATTCCGTCAAAGATTGAATGATATATAAAAGAAAAATGAGCTCTTAACCAAGAAGCTTTAGATTCAATAAGGTAACTTTCTAATTTTACTGATAGTTCTTTAAATTCCATTTCATTGGCATTGACCATTAATTCATAAATTGTTTCGGTATCCGCATACTCAATATTAACGAAACCACCATAGATGTATCTAAATTAAATATATAATGAATAATATGTACATATTTTGTTTTTTAATAATATTGGAAACCGATAATTTTACACTTTTGACTTACTTAATAATAATTTCGAATATTTGAGCAGAAATATCTGGTTTAATAATAGTTTTGATATTATTTTTATTCGTAGTAACGTTCTCTAATTCTTTATCAAAGTAAGATGAACGATAACGTAAGACAACTGAATGTGCAGTAAAATATTTCTTATTTTCTTCTTTATCAACTTCGATGACAACATTATATTCTTTTTTGTCATTAAGAAGTCCTGAAAAATCTTGAGATAATTTATCAAATAATTTAAGAGACATTTTTTATTGTTTCGAAACTTCAAACTGAACTGACTGCAAAAATAAATATTTAATCCCCCCGTTTGTACAATTTATTGATAAAAGCTAGCAAGAAGATCACATTGTACAATTCATCGACAAATCTACGAATTCCGAAAAAAAATAGTCAATTTATTGCATCTTTCTTATAGGGCTATATTATTAACTTCAAACGTACACAATGATTATTATTTTTTATAATAAATAATACATTCGATCATCACACAACGAATTTTGAATACTTATTTGACCCCGTTTTTCATAATAAAACGGCTTAGGGGGATATCATCGTTTCACAAGGTAAAAACATTTCAGTTTATTTTTTTTAAATGGTCCTTTAACTGAAATTTCTTTTAGCTTGACGAAGAATTTTCTCAAGCCGGTTTTGAATCATTATTTTCATACGATAAAAATTTGACATTTGACGAATTCTGAAGCTAAAAAGATGCTCAAACCATCATAGGGAAGCTTGAAACAAGGTCTTCCAAATTGTTCTAAGAACATTTTAGTGAAGTAATCTTGAGAAGATACTTATTAGAAGTATTAAATAAAATATATAAATAAATTTCTAAAATATATAACGGCTATTTTGAAATAAAAAAAACAAATTACTTTTTTTATTATTGTTTTTTTGGAAAAGGGGTGAAATCATGAGATGTGGTATGATCAATTTGTTCCTTTGAGGATCACATTACATTTTTATAGATGCCATTTTAAGTAAATATCTTATCTTATTTTAAAATTGGAGATAATTCCGAAATTCTATAATAAAATCGGATAGTATAAGAATTGGATTTAAAATGGAATATGCAGAGATTAATTGGTATTACTGTGATAAATCAATAAATTAATTAAGCGATCATTCATTGGTCCAATTAAACATGACATCACATGATATAATAATAAAACGAACAACAAAATAAACAAAAATATTCTCACAATTAATAAAACTTTATTTAATAAATACTGTATTTTATACTTTATTTAAGTGGTTTTGTATTTAAATAGAGTAACAAAGTTCTAATTGCTTATGCTGCGATTGTTTAATCTATCTATGTCTGTTATAATATACAATTTTTAATGAAATATGAACTTTTAAATTTATCTATCTAAAGCCTATTGTAGATAATAATTAATAACCTAACCAATTATTTGCAATCTATAGTTTTTACTTTTTTTCGTCTTATGCTTATTAGGAATCAATTGGTAATATACTTTAAAGTAATAAAAGACTTAAAATTGGCTTTCATAAAAAAATTTTTGCACCTCAAATTGTTTGTTTTATTTTATTGTGAAATTCTTGGTGACTTGACTTTGCACATCAAAAAGTTTTCTTATTTATGTGAAAAATCGAATGAAGCGTGTACCTATAATTTTTATTATAAGTAATTATGTGATAAAAATTAGCAATAATTAAAAATCCGAATTTCAGTTGATATTCATTTTGAAAGGAAAGACCTATAGACTATTGTTTGGTAGAATGGAAATTACTGCAAGTGCTATAAATTAAATAATAGTCATGAATATAAATCGTTATTCAAATTATTTAATCAATTATTTAAATTTATATTGGACAATAGATGATTTAAATAAAGAAATAGTAATTGATTCCAATCAATTGCTTAGCTTTTGAAGCTTACAGTTACCATAAGTTAAAATCTTATGAGCTTGCTCTTTTTGGTTTTAATTTAGTAATCATTTTTGTTGTCACTTCAATGAATCTACCGAGCCAACATTATGAGAGAAATAAAAAATCTTAATAAGTCAGCACAAGAAGAATCATCTATTGAACCAACATGGACCTACCAAATTTTGAGGATTTAGAAGCTAACAATGACGTTAATGCATAATCAATTATCAAAGAGAAAAAGCAAGAAAAATAATACTAATTTAACACAAGATATCAAACCAGTGTCGATTGCTGATGTATTGACGAGTTTAGATAATTATTTATATTATCGAGTTTGATTTTGATGATTATCTTTTTGTTAATTTTTCTTATTCTCGATTTTTTTTCAAATTTTCAATCTTTTCTTTCTCAATTTCACAATTTTTGCTTATAAATCTTTTTTTAATTCCTATAAATGAATTCAAAATGATAACATTATTTTGAAAATTTGTAAAAATAAATATATCTTCAATTTATCATTATTATTTATGGTTTATATTCAGTAAAAAACTAGAATAAAATTTAGAATTGCAGAATCAATTATGCTCATGCAAAAATTACTAAGCTAATTCACGGAAATACATGATATACAGTATAATGAATTGCCAAAAAAATATCATTACTATTCAGAACATTCAAATAAACTTTTCAAATTGTGTACTAAACAAAAGTTAATACATTCATTCTCTTTTAAATATTACTGGAGGAAGCAACAATTCATCGCCATGTAATTAAGATGAAAATAATACAATTAAAATAAAATTATACTTTAATATGTTAAAATATTGGTTTTAATCAACATTCTTTCATTTTTTCCACTTTTAATTATACTAAGAATATTAATATTGAACAAATAAACGAAAACAATATTTATTTTATTTTGTTCATCAGCAAATAATAACTTGATTTTGTTATTATTAATTTTTTTATTGGTATTATTTTACAATTATTATATTTTTGATACAAAATAATAATTTATTATCTTAATACTAATCTTAAAATATGTTTAATATATATGCATACTATTCAATATATCTTTTTATGCTTAATTGGCCTAACAATAATGCTAAAATTAAATCGAAAACTTCCTCAACGAAAATATCCTTTTATGTAATTGGTAAAAAAAAAAATAAAAAATGAGATAAATTATATAAATGACATTGGGTCGAATATTTAACACAACACGCACACTTCACCATGCATCTTTCTTGGAAGCAAAATATTCGAATTGTAAAAGTTTGTTTATCGATTTTTAAAGAAAAGATTATTTAAAATCGATCTTTTATATGTCCAATTTTTACATTGTCAATTATGAAATATCTTATTTTTATTCTTTCACATTTTTCTGAAAAAGCCATAGACATGTTTATGTACTAATATTAGCGTATTTATCTGGTTACCTACTAAATATTCTAAAGTTACTTGACTACGGTGCGTAAATAATTCAAACAATATTTAAAATTCATTATTCTTAGAAAAAGTTAGACGATCGAAAGAAAATGAAACTCGAATTGGGAATGCCAGGGAACGTTTGTTCCTTGCGAAATATCGTGTCGATGCCGGTACGGAACAAGCTCATTATTATTCGATAACTATTTTATTAATTAAAATTAGAATTCATAATTTTATTCGTAATTTTATTTTTTCTTTTTTGTTAATTTGATACTCTACTGCTTCGTTAGATGAATTATTTAAATAAATTCAGGATCATATTATTCAGAATGAAGAATAGCTTCGTCATAATATAAATAAACATGAAAGTCTGTGGGCATTGAATGCTATTGCGGATAATAATTTGAAAAAGTCTTCACCGATACTTCAATATCATGAATTTATGTCTTTAGAGAATCTTATCTTAACGTCTTTTGAAAAAAATATGATGTACTTGAATTACAAGAGATTCAAGTATGGGATTATGTGATAAAATGTGCGTTGGCTCAAAATCCCAGTATTAGTCCAGATACTACGAGAAGGGCTAGCGAAGATATTTCTGCTATGAAAAAAACTCTACAACACGTTAGATGTCAACAAATTAAAGCTTCAGATTATTATTTAAAGTAAGGCCGTGCAAAAAAGCTATTATGCTGTATTCTTTCGTGTTGGTCTTCCCTCTTTTCCCTGCGATTTAAAAGTAGCACCAGAAAGTGAAGCAAATATTCGAGGTTACTCCAGATATTCTGTATGTATTAATTTTAGTTGATCAAAACTATGATTTTAAATCAATTTCATGTGGTAGTCGGGATGACAAATTTTTATAGAGATTGATGTGATAACTGTTACAATAATTAAAAATTAAAGATACAGAACAATTGATTGTTGGTTATAGCCCAAACCAATGGAATTCTTTGGTAACTAAGGATATCTTTATATTCTCATTAGATATGGGTCAGGTCTTTTAAAACGAAACTATTCTTAGTTGAGTGGTTAATCCGAAACGTGAATTTGTTGTGGTGATTTGCGCAACGCATTATCGAGGGATCTTGCGTTAGAAACGTGAATTGCTAATTGAGCAACATTTACAATTAGAGTTTGGAAGTTTTAAAATTATTAGATTTCATTAATCAAAAAACCAAATAATTTCATAATTATTATAATTTATTACAATCATACTGTATTTCTTAATTATTAGTTTACTTTAACAAACCATGGATTACAACACAATAACACACAACCAAAATAACAATAAATTTATTAAACTTATCAAAGATCATTTAGAATTTTAGAATAATTCAGTCGAATGATATATTTTAGTATATATTTATTTTATTTTTTTTTATGTTTATTATATTTTTGAAGTGTTTGTAAAATATTATAAATAGACCATCAGGGAAATCATTTTATGCGTAATTATACGTAGATCCCATAATATTACGCTTAATTAATACGCCTATCGTATTATTTTAGAGAATTAATCAAAGAAAATTAAATACTATCAATTGTATGCTTTTTCTGTTCGTTATTATTAAAAATAAATTTTTATAAAAAGGTTCAATTATTGTAAAAAGAAATTCTTAATTGAATTTTAAACGTAACGTTAAAATGATATTTTTTTAAATTTCCATAAATTATTTAGACAAAAATATCAACTGTGTCAAAATATTTTGTTTGGACAAGCTTTTATTAACGAATGAAATTAATTCAATTAATTCTAAAAAAAAGACCCCATATTGAAAATAGAAACATCAATCATGAATGCCAATAAATCTTTCGGGGAGAAGTAAGAACATAGTTCACTATGCTTATTAAATATTTACTAATCAAGTATCCATCAAAATAAAATTGTGCACTCTTAACAATTATTCTTATTTCTATATTAAATAACACTTTAATTGATAATTAGGTATTGGTAGTAAGTATTTGGATTCAAGCTAATTCAATATTAAATAACTCTTATCTAATCAATTATCAATTATTTACATGAATATTTACTAATTAGTCTGTAAGTATTTAGATAAATAATCATGAAACCGAAATTTTAAGCTAATATGAATATTTGATAATCAGATGGTAAATATTTAGATTCATAATCATTGAACTAAAATTTCAAACTAATTCAATATCAAATAACACTTCTCTAATCAATTATCAATTATTTACATGAATATTTAATAATCAGGCTGTAAGTATTTGGATTCATAATCATTGAAACTGAAATTTCAAGCTAATTCTAATCAATTACCAATTATTTGCATGAATATTTAATAATTAGTCGGTGGGTATTTAAATTCATAATAATTGAAACCAAAATTTCAAGTTAATTCAATATCAGATAAAACTTATCTAATCGATTATTAATCAACTGCATGAATATTATATTATAGTTCGTGAGTATTTGGATTCATAATCATTTGAAACAAAACTTTCAAACTAATTCAATATTAAATAACAATTTTTCTAATCAATTATTAATAAAATGCATGAATATTATATTACAGTTCGTAAGTATTTGGATTCATAATCATTGAAACTAAAATTACAAGCTAATTCAGTATCAAAAAATATTTTTCTAATCAATTATCTATTAATTTAAATTTATTAATAGCGGGTGAGTATTTAGATTCATATCGTTGAAATCAAATTTCAAGCTAATCTAATATCAAATAATTCTTTTCTAATCAATTTGCATGAACATTTAACGATTAGTGAGTAAGTATTTAGATTCATAATAATTGAAACAAAAATTTCAAGTTAAATCAAAATCAAATAAAAATTTTTAATCGATTATCTATCAAATGCGTGTACCTATAAAAACAATAAGATTGTGAGTATTAATCTTTACAATAATCGAAACCGAAGTTTAGGCTAATGCTTTTCTAATTAATTACCAATCAACTGCGTGAATATTATATTATAGATCGTGAGTATTTTGATTTGTGATCGAATTTCAATTCAACTGATATTAAATTATATTTCTCTAATCAATTTCATTTAAATGGCTGAGTTGTATATTATAGTAATAGGAGGTGAGTTTCAAAATACATAGTTATTAAGATGAATATTTCAAATAACAATTTTTTAATCGATTATTAATCAATTGCATGCATGTTTAATAGTTTGTAAGTATCTAAATTCGTAATTACGAGAACACTATTTTATATCACTTTCTAATCGATTATCGATTGCAAATTACTAGGGAGTGAGTATTTAAAATTTACTATCATTAGGAACACATTCCGGTTAATTAAACATCAAATAATACTTCTCTTATCTATTATCAATTTAATCTGACTCCAAATTTATGCCAGATTGTGAGTATTTGATTGCTTATTTGTAAGTCAAGTCAGTTCAATATATAAATAAATATTCACTAAATATATATTATACAGGGCGTGAGTACCTAGGATTTATAATAATAATTAAAATTAAAAGTTCTGAACCAATTCATTGTAAATAACACTTCTTTAATCAATTGTCAATTCATATTAAATAATTAGTCGGTAAGTTTTAAAATTCATATCAAAGTATCAAGCCAATATCTTTTCTCTATTTAATTATCCAATTACATTATGTTAATAATTAGACTGTTATAGTTTACAATAATTATGATTATTAAATTATTTATTATTATTAATTTCGAATCTTTGGATAATCAATATTAATTAAACCATTTTTAATCAATTTTAAATTAATTCCATTCTATTTTTATGAAATTGAATGAATAGTCCGTGAGTATTTACATTTCTATTCATTTTATATAGAATTATTATAATTGCTTATCATTAATAATATTTTTAGTGATAATACCACATATGGAAAGTGTATGGAATGTCAACAATCCAATACTGGATCAAATTGGTGTAAATTATGTAATAGCAAAAGATTTGGAAAAGAAAATTGGACAAGTGGAGATACAGAGATTGATGAGTTCATTAAAGAAATGCAGTTGAAAGCAAATAAGCATGAAGAAGTTATTGAATGGATTAATTTTGATAGATTTGATAAAGTAGAATATCTTGATGCGGGAGGTTTTAGTACAGTCTACAAGGCAAAATGGCCTGATGGATATATTACTTCCTGGGACTTTAAAGAAAAAAATTGGTTAAGAAAGTCTGAATTGAAATATGTTTGTTTAAAAAGTCTTAATACCTTTGAACATACAAGAGAATTTCTGCAAGAGGTAAAATACTATTTAGTCAATATTTATTTGAATTTTCATTTGATGAATTTATTTTAAATCGGATCAACATTTAAAAATTTTAGATTAAAAACCAACTCAAATTTCGAGGCGGATGGGCAATTGCAGTATACGGTGTAACAAAAAATCCAATGACAAATGATTATATGATAGTTATGCAATATGCAAAACATGGAAGTCTCCGAAAAATGTTAAATAAGAATTTTAGTAGATTAGATTGGTATGCAAAATTAAAAATTATATTTTATATAGCTTTTGGACTTGCGAAAATCCATGAATGTGGCTTGATGCACAAAGATCTTCACTCTGGCAATGTGGTTCTTGAATCCTTAACTGATCCTTATATCACTGATTTTGGATTGTGCAAGCCAGTTTTACACGATTTTGCAGAAAATGAGCAAAATAAAATTTATGGTGTAATTCCATACACAGCACCTGAAATATTTATAAGAGGAGAATATTCTCAAGCATCTGATATATACTCTTTCGGCATGATCATGTTAGAAGTATTTACAAGTTACCCACCATACTATAACATTCCACATGATATAAATCTGATTATGTCAATTTATAATGGACAAAAACATGAGATTAAGTGTAAAATTCCTCAATTATTCAAGGATTTAATGGAAAGATGTTTGGATTCTGAACCTCACAATCGGCCAATTGCTAAAGAATTAGAAACTTAACTTAATAAATATTATTATCAAGGCAATAGTGAATTAAATAATCAAATTGTTGATATTGAGAAATCAAATGAGAATTTTATTCAGTATACTCCGAATGAAGTACATCCTCAAGCAATATATAAAAGTAGACCTTTATTTGTTTTTGATATAACATCAAATGAGAATTTTATTCAATATAATCCAAATGAAGTACATTCTCAAGCAATATACAAAAATAGACCTTTATTTATTGTTGATAGATCATCTAGTAAGTATATTATAAGAAATAATTTCACTTGAAAAAAGTCTTCTAATTGTTTATTTAGATTCAAGACAGAAATTAATGACACTTCCTAGTAACTCTGAAATTATGAATGGTAATATATTTTTTTGAATAAGAATCAATAATAATTAAATTTAATATGAATTGATCAATCAATTATCATTATTTCAATTTATGGCTTCAGATTTTGCAATCAATGGAAATGACAATGAAAGTATCAACATCAATGAAATTAACAAAAATAATGAATCAACAAAATCGAAAAAACACAGCCCTAATTTGCTTTTAGGATATTGTACAGTGGGTTATCAAATGTCATGGGACAGTTGAAAATTATTAAAAAAATTACTAAATTTAAAATGCTAATTGTGATACAACAAGTTATTTAAATTGTATAAACTTTTTTTATTAGATTCCCTAATACTAGGGCTATCATAAAAAATATTTTTGTTAAAATCGAATGTCTACAAGTGGAGAAATTACACTTCAAATAAAATTGTCAAAAAATAACAAATTTGATCTTTGAACGTTACCCATACCGGACTTGACAAATATTAAAGATAGATGCTAACTATCTTATATAGAATTGTAGCCAGAGATGATGTCTACAACTTTAATTATTAGCATTTTTCATTGTATCTAATTAAAATTTTGACTTTAATTTGACGTGAATAAAGTTTTTTATTTATTTATTTATTTTAGCAGACTGGCGCGATCTCATACAGTTTCCTATAAGTATTACTAAGAATACGGTAACGGTGAACTTACAT